CGCAAACGACAGGTGGATCGAAGGAGGTCGAGGCAATGATTAACACTGCCGAAGAATGCAGGACTGCGCGTGGTCAGCACTCCAGTGGGAATGACAGGTCATTCCCCTACTGACGTGCCAACATGGCAACTAACTGTTGCTAGTGAATTGTGAGCTGCGAGAAAACATGCGTAGTCAGGTTAGCCTGGCTGGCCTGTATAGATATAGGCTGGCCAGAGCACAAGTCTGGTGTATGCAAAAAACGTGGGGATGGTAGAAAGGGAGTTTCGTTCCCCTTAATTCTTATCCAACCCATCCAATCAAAAAGACCAGCGAAGAAAATCGAATTTCTGTACACTTACCGAGAAACGGCGACGTGACTCGCCCCACACAAACCCACCCAACAAAAAAAAGGCGAGCAAAACGCAAATCTCCAATGAACCTCTTCGAACAGAACAACGACGACGACGCGCCAGAACACTTACCGGGACGCATGCGAACCCTGCCACATGGGCCTTCGGTGAAACTCCCTGAATCTCCCTATGAAGCCACGCGCCATGTGAGGGGTGTACCAAGCTTGGACTTGGGACGCATGTGAGCCCTGCTATTGAAGCTTTCGGTGGAGCTCCCTATGAGGCCACGAACCGTGTGATGTGTGCGCGTGCGCGTGCTCAAATTTGCCAGGGGACATCTGTGAACCCTGACACTGGGGCCTTCGGTGGCGCCCCCCCAGGAGGCCACGCGCCCCAAGGAGGCCCGCGAGCAAGCCGCGGTCCGCATCACGCGCCCCAAAGAACGCCAAGGAACCCCGAAAAAAACGGCGACGAAAGATCCTGCGAAGACTTAAAGCGCTCCCCGAGAAAACGGGAAACGGCGACGCCCAACCTCGGGGGGTTACCCACCGGAGTCTCGGTTGAGGGGGGTGATGAGAGAGTCTGTGCTCGCTGAGTGGACTGGGCATGAAAAAAAACAGGTGGTGAAGTCAAGTTGAAAGAGTGGCGCTTGTAGTCTGCCAAAGGTATGCTTATCCTCCTCCTCGTCCTTCTCCTCCTCCTCCTCCTCCTCCTCCTCCCACAAACCACTGAGGCATCACACCACTTCCTACGTTTGTTGCTGGTTTTACAGCACGCGCGTCGATGATCGCGCCTGATTCTCCAAACTACCACAACCGACAACATGGGGTCTAATATGGGCACAGAGTCAGAAAGACCCAACAGCATGTGACATCAGATGCCGGATCGCCTGGACCAAGGGTGTCCCCTGCCTGCCCCCTCGGATGCTGAGAGGGAAAGGGCCTGAGCCCCAACCGAACTCTCTGGCATGGGATCTGGGGAGGTGTGAGCAATCCCGCCCCCGACCCACATCCGCCGAGGGGGACACACCGAAGACTGGGGGGTGGTTTGACACGGTCGCCTTGCCAAACACATCGCCTTCGACACATACCTTTGAGCACCTCTGACATGCTGAGACTCGCGGAGGCCTCTGCTCGCTGCGTCATGTGCTGCACCATCTACACTCCATCTACATACAACACGACAACATGGTCGTAATCTCTTTGAACTGCTCTAACTCACTCGATTCTACTGCATTTCGAACACCACCGTGTGTGGCACGACACAGTGTGTGACGCAACGTGCGTTAACGGTCATGTCCATTCAGGTCTGCAGCATCGAAACGCATGCCTCGAATTCGAGCACAATCCACTGCGAGCGTTGCATAGTACGACGCTCAGGGAATTCCACCAGCCCTTAGGGCTAAGGTGGTCCCAAGATATCTGTCATTTCTCTTCCAAGAACCCTCTTCCCTGCGGGGAGGGGGGAACCCTCCCCCTCCTCTTCCTGAGGTTTTTGTGGGCGGGCCGCTATCGGCCGGAGCGTACAATAAGATGGCCCAAGATGGCTCCCAGAGTTTGGGTGACCCAATAGGGGATCCAACTGAAAGGGGGTGGTGCAATAGATTTGGGGCAATTGTTTTGCAAATGTAATGCGCCGGAGAATTGTATTGCATTGTACTGCAAGTAATGAATTGTACGCGAACATCCAGCAATACATTTGCGCCCTGGAATATATTACACGCCCCAGACGCATTGCAACCCCACAAATTCTATTGCACCAAACCTATTGCACCATCCCTGTCGCTGGACCCCCTTGTGGGTCAACCCAAAAGATGGCCTCCGACGCTCCAAGATGGCCTCCGAGGCGGCCCAAGCTGGCCGAAGATGGTTCAAGCTAGCTTCCGACGTGCCTCCAAGAGGCTTGCCGAGGGCCGCACGACAGCTCCAAGTGCTCTCGGAGCCCCCCGAGGACCCCCCAAGAGGCCAAGATCACTCGAAAACCTACGGAGAATCAATGAACTTAGCCTTCTTACTTTTTCGCGTCCGGTGGGCTTCTTGGGCCTCAAGACGGCCCCAAGATGGCCCAAGGAGGCTCAAGAGGGGCCCAAGAGGCCCCCCAGACGGCCCTAAGAGCGCCCCGAAAGAGCCCCAAGACGGCCCTAAGAGATGGTAGGGCCCTGGGGGGGAGGCTAGACCGGGGCTCCAAGAGAGCCCCAAGAGGGCCCCAAGAGGGCCTCAAGAGGGCCCCAAGACCCCGCAAAAAGAGCCCCTAGAGGATCCCAAGATCCCCCAGAAGAGCTCCAAGAGGGCCTCAGACACGATTTTGAGGACTTTGTCCTCGTCCCCGTTGTCCTCCTCCTCCTCCTCCTCCTCCTCCTCCTCATCCTCCTCCTCTCATCCTCATCATCCTCATCATCCTCATCATCCTCATCATCCTCATCATCCTCATCATCCTCATCATCCTCATCATCCTCATCCTCATCCTCATCCTCATCCTCATCCTCATCCTCATCCTCATCCTCATCCTCATCCTCATCCTCATCCTCATCATCATCATCATCATCATCATCATCATCATCATCATCATCATCATCATCATCCTCGTCCTCGTCCTCGTCCTTGCCCTCATCGTCCCCCTTTTCCTTTTCTTCCTCTTCTTCGTCGTCGTGGTCGTCGTCGTCCTCCTCCTCCTCCTCTTCTTCCTTCTCTTCCTCCTCCTCTAATTCCCTCGCCCCAACGCAGGCCCCAAGGATGGCCCGAAGAGGCCCTCCAAGGCCACCCCCTTGCTCCCAGAGATCTCTCTGGTCGCCCTGGTTGCCCGCTTTGCTTCACTATATGTGAATATTCGTCCCTTTTCCCGTCAGCTCTAATGGGCAAGATTTCTGAGTTGGCTTGTGGGGATACGCGAAGCGTGCTGAACTCAAGTTCACGTCGCATCCGCCTTAAAATGCGATCTTTGAGGTGATGCTGGTGGTGGTGTCTCACTCATGACATGGCAATGCTAGTTGGGATGCCCGGTGCAGAAGACGCCAATGCTGCGCAATTGATGCTTGACCCATCTGTTGTATTATGCCCACCTGCGTTTGCAACTGGGACTGGCCTTACTGGTTGCATTCATCCTTGGCATGTTGACTATACGTTTGTCTACGATGCCTTTGACAAGTTCCATGATGTTGCGTCCGTTGCGCAAATGATCTCTCTCCGGCCACGCCGCAATGCCGCCGTCGTGGTTGCTCTTCTGCTCTCTCTCCCTCTCTCTTGCTCTGCCTCTCTTGTTCTCTTCGCTACCACAGGGAAGCCTTAGTCGGTTACCATTTCGACGCTGGACGTGGATGCAAAAGACGATTGATGTTCGGCTTGAGCAGAAAGCGCCGCTGCTCGGTAGCAGCGGCTGGCCAGCGTCGGACGGTTTCACAATGGAACAACAACATGTTCGGCGATGGCGGTCTGGGTTTTCCACGGAGGAGAAACAAGAGTCGTGAGAGGAAGGCCGAGGAAAGCAACGCGATGGGTCGTAACCAGGCGTATCCCTCGCCTGCTCCACCCCTCCTCCGCCTTCTCCTCCCCGACGGGAGCAAGCCTTGCGACGCCCCCGCAATCACCTCGCGTCGCTCCGCCCTCGCTGCCCGCGAAAGCGCTGGAGAAACGGACGCGTTCGGGGGGCGTGCGAAACGCTTGATCAAATGAGAAGGAAAACGGGTGGAAAAAAAGGGGATACGGGGCAGGCGGGAAGGAGGGAACGATGAAGAGAGGCAGGAGGAAGGAACGAAAGCAGTGGCAAGGAGGAAAAATGTGGAAAAGGTTCAAGAAGAGGAAGGGTGAGGGAGATTGTGTTTTCTGACGTTCAGCGTGTGAAGCGACCTTCGAAGCCCGAACTCGCCCCTCTGCACCTGGTCCCTGACTGGAAAAGGAATGTGGCGCTGCGTGCGGGCAACCGCGGTCGACTGTTTATCCGCACGCGCTACGGCCCCCGTGGGCTGCTTGCGGGCATGAATTGTAAAACGCACGCATGTTGTGGTCAATGGGCTGCAATATTGCAAGGTGCTCACAAATGATCAAGTCCTGTTGTCTATTGGGGCCGCGAAACAAGGACCAGGAGAAGGCGTTAAGTTTCAAAAGGTCCGTCCACCAACCGATCGGCGGACAGAGCGCTTCGCGCCGTGCGACGCGCGATGCGTGGTTATCTTCAGGCCCCCGCGCAGCCTCCACTGAAACAACAACTCCCTAACCCTGACGTAGAACAAACTGGTTTCAAGCCACAGGAAACAGGGCAATCCTTAGGCACATTCGTAAAACACGTTGGGTTCGAACCACAGGAGAAATTACCCTGGCGACGTACCCAACCCATGCGCAATGCGGGGCAGGAGTAGCTTGGGACATTTGACGGGAAGGCGGCGACGTAACATGGACGCATATTCTTCTGCGGGCAACATTCGGAAGGTTCGCAAGTCCCCGACCAAGAGAACCCTATGAGTAACTAGGTGAACCCCCGAGTCACTAAGGAAGACGCAGGGTCCAAAAGGAAACTGTGGGCCCGGGGCTTGGACCGTCGGAGGGGCAACACCAACATGGCATGGCCCCTCCGGGACGGCGAAGTCTCGTTCAGGTCTGCGCGGCGCCTCACCCCGCAGGACCCACCAGCAGCCCTCGAAAATGGCGTCAGCTTCGCAGATCGCAGCCCCCCAAGGACGGCGGAGGCTCGCTCAGGTTTGCGCGGTGCCTCACTCCGCTGGACCCACCAGCAGCCCTCGAAAGTGGCGTCAGTTTCGCGGATCGCAACCCCCCAGGGGCGGCGAGGTCTCGCTCAGGTCTGCGCGGTGCCTCACTCCGCTGGACCCACCAGCTGCCGTCGAAAGTGGCGACGCTTTCGCAGATCGCAGCTCCCCAGGGGCGGCGAGGTCTCGCTCAGGTCTGCGCGGTGCCTCACTCCGCTGGACCCACCAGCTGCCGTCGAAAGTGGCGACAGTTTCGCAAATCGCAGCTCCCCAGGGATGGCGAGGTCCAATTTGAATCGGCGTAATAGGTCACTGTGCTTGACCCTCAGCAGCCCCCGAAAGTGGCGACAGTCTCGCACATCACACCCCCCCCAGGGATGGCGAGGTCAAATCTGATTTGCGTAAAACGTCACTCCGCTGGACCCACCAGCAGCCCTCGGAAGTGGCGACAATTTCGCAGATCGCACCCCCCCATGGATGACGAAGTCTATTCTGAATCAGCGTAAGACGTCTCTCCGCTGGACCCCCCAGCGGCCTTCGAAAATGGCGACCGTTTCGCAGATCGCACCCCCCCATGGATGGCTAGGCCAAATCTGAATCTGCGTGAAACGTCACTCCGCTGGACCCCCCAGCAGCCCTCGAACGTGGCGACAGTTTCGCATACCGCAACCCCCAAGGATGGCTAGGTCAAATCTGAATCTGCGTAAGACGTCACTCCGCTGGACCCCCCAGCAAACCTCGAAAGTGGCGACAGTTTCGCAAATCGCACCCCCCCAGAGATGGCTAGGTCCAATATGAATCTGCGTAAGACGTCACTCCGCTGGCCACCCCAGCAGCCCTCGGAAGTGGCGACAGTTTCACAGATCGCAACCCCCAAAGGATGGCTAGGTCCAATCTGAGTCTGCGTAGAACGTCACTCCGCTGGACCCCCCAGCAGCCCCCCGGAAATGGCGACAGCTTCGCAGATTGCAGCCCCCAGGGATGGCGAGGTCTAATCTGAGTCTGCGTAGGGCGTCACCCCGCTGGTCACCCCCAGCAGTCCTCGAAAGCGGCGACGGTTTCACACATCGCAGCCCGAAGAGAGGAGGAGGGAAGAGAGGAGGCGGGAGGAGGAAGAAGACGCGACCTCAGTGCTCTATTTCTACCGAATACCCAACGCAGGAGGGTTGGGAAAAGAAAAGGTGATACATATATATATACATATATATATATACATATATGTATATATACATATACATATATATATATGTATATGTGTGTGTAAATATGTATGTATATAGTCACATACGTAAAACGCACATCGGATTGAAACCACAGGAGAAGGCCAATCCGTAGGCACAAACGTAGAATACCATAGCTCAAGCCATAACACAAAATGGATCGAATTTCTGAACCAAATCAAGCCAACACACCATCATGAATCACAATTCCGGATCACAAGAAACCAAAACGACGCATTGAGCGTTGCCAGCTGATCCCGGGCCGACCATAATGTCAATTTGTGAATATGTAACAACAACAAGCGGGGCGTGTGATTAAAAAATGGATCCCCTGCTCGGGCGAATCGCGGGGGTGGCGCCCGCCAAATCGGAACACGCGGCGGCGCCGCCAGCGATCAGAGCCTACGGATGATGGTCGCCAACGAGAGGGCGACAGGAGCAGCACGGGCTGGGGGAGAGGGGGGGGGGGGGGCAACGGCGGCAGAGGCAGGGACCGTCGACGCCGCCACCGCCGCGTTATTCCCGTGTTTCGCGGTCGAGCGGAACTCCCGCCGCCGCGATGGAAACTCCTCGTCGTCCTCTTCCTCCTCCTCCTCCTCCACCTCTTCGTCCTCGCCCTCGTCCTCGTCCTGATCCTCGTCCTCGTCCTCGTCCTCCTCCTCTTTCTCCTCCTCCTCCTCCTCCTCATCCTTCTCCTCCTCCTTCTCCTCCTTCTCTTCCTCGTTGTTCATGCTGTTTGTCATCGTCCGCGGCGCGGTGGTTCCCCGAGCTCTCCGAGCCTTGGCGCGGGTGATTGAGAACGATTTCTGACTCGGCGTTTCGACATTGGGCGGAAGGGGGGGGCGGGGCGCGAAACATCTTCTTAATATAAAGAATGTTTCGCGCCCCTATCCATCAACCTGGGGGGGCATCATTTGTTCACCACATGCTGACACTAATGAGCTCTGGAGCACCACGCATTCCTGGGCCAAATCGAGCCAGAACACCAAGGTTCAGCGCTGCCGGCAGATTCCGGGCCGCCACAATCGAGCAGCACAATCGTGAGTCGCACTTCTGGACAAGATCGAGCCTGAACACGATAGTGAGCGCTGCCGGCAGATTCCAGGCCGCGCCGCCGGGCCTGTGAGACGCCTGGTCCCGCCCCCCCTGAGGAAATTCTGGTGAGAGGAGTCTTTGACCCCCGTTGGAATCCTCTAGCGAAGCGCTAATTACTAGGGAACAAGGTTGGGGGTTCAACAGCGAAAGGCAATCATTACGGAACGCTGGTCGAAAGGGGCTCGGCTGATCCTTCGGATTCTACGGACAGACAGACAGACGGATCCCGCACGGCTACGAGGCCGGTCCTGCACAGGACACGGGAAGAAAATAGCATGCAACGCGTTCCTGCAACACACTGCCACATATCATCGCCCGAATGCCGTCCGTCGTTGACCGGAAAAAAGAGCGTCGTTCCGTGTTTATACTTCCTCAGTTCTCCCCCAGATATTGCTAGAGCTCCAGTAGAAGTCCTCAGGACTCTGGAGGGCATTGTTTGGAAATCCTGTGATCCTTGGGACTTCTGAGGGATCCTCACGGCCTTCATCTGATTCCTGAAGATTCCTGAAGAAGGCCTCATGTGGTGCTGGGTACGGCATTAAGGGACGCGAGTCCCGAGCAGAGCAACACGCACCAAGACCACGACGACGCCGACAGAAACAACGAAGAAGACGAGGCGCGCAGACAATCCGCACCGAAGCACGGATTAGCGAGCAGGCCCACCCTGCAGGTTCGGTTAAACATTACATCGTTCAGCGATGCTGCAGCCTCCCCTAGGCACAGGTCCCCCCAGAGTATCAGCCAGAAGGCCTCAGGAGCAAGAATCATACATTGGGGGCCCTCGTCCCCCAGGGACCGCCTGCCAGTTGCGTCAGGGAGACGCCGGAGCCTATTGTCTCGTCTGTATGTGTAGAAAGCGCTTTCAGAGCCCCACCAGAGTCACTCGGCGGCTGAACAGGAGTTCGTGCCATCTCTGCTACCCCAATAGGAAGGAAGCGCAGCCCGCCTGTTTGCGTCGCTCGGAGGCGGGCGAGCTGACCTCATCCGCCCCATCGTTTGTCGGGTGCTCCGCGGAACGCTCGCACCAACCGTCGTTTGCGTCTGACGGTCGGATGCGGCGCTCGCTCAAGGGAGAGTAAAGAGGAAGAGGAGGGGAAGGGAGAAGCACGGACAGGATCAGGAATGGCAGGAGGAGGGGCAGTGAAAGCGACGGGGAAGTGAAGGGAAGAATGAGAAACAGGGGGAGAGGGAAAACTCTTCCTCGTCTGACAGACGGGGTGCCATTTGCGGTAGCCAACCTTCGCGAAACTGTTGCTCTTCATTCTCCGTCGGAGCTGGCTGGGGTACTCTGGTCACTCTGCAGTTCCTAGGTCACCCAGATTTGCGCATCGCGCCCTGCAATGCCCCACGCGCGGTTATTTTGGCGCCTTCGCACCCTCTCGTCCCCGCGCCGCCTCCCCTGGGGAAAAGCAGCCGCCCTGGTCCACCCCGCGACGTGCGAAGCGCGGTTATCTTCGAGCTCCTTGGGATGACCTGCTGTTGAGGGGGACAATTAAGCAACATTTACCCCTCCCCCCGCAATTCAAAGTTGGCACGTTTACGCACCACTGGTCCGACACTCAAACTCGGAAGATCCGAACCCCACACTGCATTCGGGGAAAAGGGGGGGGGCCAGTTCAAACCATATGCTGCGCGCGACTGGCGCGACTGTTTCCGACGCCTGTCGAATTCTTACCTGCCCCACGAACGAAGAAAGCGGCTCCTGCGCACAACCTCTCCACGACGCGGCCCGGCGCCGCGCGGCCCGCGGCCCCACGACCGCGCGGCAGAGGGTCGGCCCAGGCAGCAGCCTGCAGAAGGGGGGAGGGGGGGAGCAGGCGGCGGCTACGACGACGCCAAAGGAGGAGGGGGGGGACAGTGTTTTCTGTCTTCGTCCGGTTCCCAACCATCCTGTGGTGTTGGGCTCTCGCTTTGAAGAGATGGCGCCCCGCGTTACTCCTCTCCTCCTCCTCCCCCTCCCTCCTCCCGTCCGTGCCTCTGCCCTCCACATGTCCCTGTTTCGGTGCACCCCTCACACGTTTCGTGGCCCCCTAGGAAGCTCCACCGAAGGCCCCCGTGGTGCACCCCGCATGCGTCCCCGCTCCCCATTTCGGCACAACCCTGACGCGCTTCGTGGCCCCATAATGAGCTCCACCGAGGGTCTCCGTGGGGCACCCCACATGCGTCCCCGCCATCCATGTCGGCACCCCCCCCACACGTTTCGTGGCCCTTACTGAGCTCCACCGAGGGTCCCAGTGGCGCAGCCCGCCTGCGTCACCGCCACCCATGTCGGGGCACACCCCTCACACGTTTCGTGGCCCCGTAGGGAGCTCCGCCAAAAGTCCCAGTGGCGCAGCCCGCATGCGTCCCCGCCATCCAGTTCGGCACACCCCTCACACGCTTCGAGGCCCCATAGCAGCTTCACTGACGGACCCAGTGGCGCAGCCCGCATGTGTCACCCATAGGAGGTCTACCGAAGGTCCCCGTGGCGCAGCCCGCATGCGTCCGCGCCGCCCAAGTCGGCATACCCCTCACACGTCTCGTGGCCCCACAGGGAGCCCCACCGAAGGCCCCAGTGGCGGTGCCCACATGCGTCCCCACCACCGAGTTCGGCACCACCCTCACATGTATTCGTGGCCCCATAGGGAGCTTCACCGAAGGCCCCAATGGCGGCGCCCACATGCGTCCCCGCCATTCGTGTCGGCACACCCATATACACCCATCACACTTTTCGTGGCCCCAAGGAAGCTCGACAGAACGCCCCAGTGGCGGTGCTCCCACACGTGTTCCCGCCACGAATTTCGGCACACCCCGCACACGTTTCGTTGCCTCATGGGGAGCTCCACCGAAAGCCCCAGTGGCGCAGTCCACAAGCGTCCCCGCCACTCATTTCAGCACACCCCGCACACGCTTCGTTGCCCCATAGGGAGCTCCACGGATGGCCCCAATGGCGCAGTCCACATGTATCCCCGCCACCCATTTCCGCACACCCCTCAGACGCTTCGTGGCCCCATAAGGAGCTCCACCGAAGACGATCCTCACAACTGCGTTACTCACAACTGCATATGGTTGGGTCCTTCGCCGGGCTAATTTTCGTTTACCACGTTCTGTCTTCTTTCCGCCCTTTGCTGCAAAACGGAACCACCCACGAACTCGCGAAAACAACGTTTAGCTCGCGCCCTGGGAGGAAGAGGCAGGAGCGGGAGCAGCAGCAGGCTTAGGAGACGCAAACAGGAGTAGCAGAGAGAGAAAAGGAGGCGTGCAAAGGCGTGCAAGGTAGAGGGTAACGGGTGCAGACGGTATGTAGAGGGTGGACGAGTGGCTCTGGGATATAGGCGGAAGAGAGAGAGAGAGAGAGATGGGGGGAAAGATGAGAGAAAGGGATGGAAAGAGAGAGAGAGGAGATAGCGAAATGCACGTATGCCTATAATTATACGCTTCCAAAAAAAGAAATACATAACAACAAACGAAAGAGAGAAAGAGAGAGAGAGAGGACGAGTTGTACACCTACATGTCTATGTGTGTATACATATATACATGCATACGCAACGTATACGAAACACAACTAGATATATGATTATTTCATTCATTGTGAAAGAACATATTTTACAAACAAAACAACAAAACAAACCAAAAACGCGTGCTCAGGTTCTAGCACGTCCTGACACTCGACAGCAAAACAGCAAACCCGCCACCGTGCCCAGGTCGTGCACCAGAGGCTCGTTGGAATTTCTTCTGGGCCTCTTGGGAGGCCTCCTGGAAGTCTCCTGGGGCAGATTTTGAACTCTCGTGGGGGTGTCTTGGGAGCCTCTCGGACCCTTTCGGGGCTTCTTGCAAGCCTCTGTCGGGGCCGTGCTGGCGGTCTCCGGAATCATCTATTTTTGGGGGACGGGCTCGACATGTCAGTTCAGGCCCCCCTATTGGGCCTCTCCCAGGGCCTTCCTGACGCCCTTTTGAGCCTTCTTGGGGGCCTCCTGGGCCGTCTTGCAGGCCTCCTGGGGGCCTCTTTGGTCGCCTTTGGGAGATCTAGGGGGCCTAAGGGGCCGTCTTGGAGCGTCGAAGCCCAAAATGGCGAGAACGCTGAAATTACTGAAGAGTCCAAAATAAATCAATGATGATGCCCTCTTGGGGCCTTCTTAGGAATCGTCTGGGTGCCGTCTTGGGGCGTTTTGGAACTCTCTTGGGCCTACGAGAGAGCGCGCCCACAGTGACGGAGCAAAGGTGGGGGGGGTCCCCCTTAGCTACCCCCCCCCTCCCTTGGACCCCCCCTGCTGGAAGCTATCGCCCCCCTCCCTGTTTCGTCCGCCCCTTGAGGCTACCCCCCATCCCCCCTTTCGGCGGTTGGAAGCTACCCCCCCCTCCCCCTCTTTCCAAAGGGGTGGGGGGGCTTAGCTACCCCCCCGCCTTCGGCCCCCTCTGCCGGAAGCCCCCCCCCCCTTCCCCCCTTTTTTGCCCCCCTCCCAGAAGCTACACCCCCCCTCGCCCCCCTTTGCCGCTCCGGAAGTTCCCCCCCCTCCCCCACTTTCCAAAGGGGGGGGGGCTTAGCTCCCCCCTCCCCCCTTTGAACCCCCCCTGCTGGAAGCTACCACCCCCTCCCTTGAACTCCCCCTGCCAGACGATCCTCCCCCGTCGCCGTCGTCGTTGCCGTCGCTCGACGTCTTCGTACGACGCAGTCGTCGTCCTCGTTGTCGTTGTCGCCGCCGTCGCCGTCATTGTCGCCGTCTTCGCATGACCTCGTCGTGGTCGTCACGACGAGGACGAGGTCATACGAAGACGGCGACGGACGACGGACGACGGACGACGCGCGACCGACGACGACGACGACCCAGGGTCAGAGAACCCGTGGTGTCCCGTTGAGTGAGATCGATAGTGAGATCGACAAGTGAAGTGTCCCGTGGTGTCCCGTGGTGTCCCGTTGAGTGAGATCGATAGTGAGATCGATTGAGTCAGATGTTGGCTCCCCCCCGTCCCCCCCTACACAACCTCCTTATCACCCGAAGGGTGGTCGTGTAGGTATATATATATATATACGCACATGAATATAGTAGCTGCGCGGTCCTCTGTATCGAGTGCCCGCCACCACGCTTTGCAGCGGCGAGTATGTGCCAAGCCACTCTCGTTTTTCACAAGCCGCCGCTCCTTGCGGAGTACATAATAGGCAGGGCTGTCATCTGCGAGTCCAACTCTCAGGGTCGCTGGGCTGTCCAACGGGAACAACTTAAGCCACCCTGTGGTGGGCACACGGCCCTGCGGCACCCACCGCAGGGCCCCGAGAGAGAGAGAGAGAGGGAGGACCCTGGGTGCCCGCCTCCACAAGCCGCCTGGAGGCCCGCAGCGTCACGCTCCGCGGTGCCGCCGCCTGAGGGGCCGTGGCCAGCGGCGCGATAGCCGCCGTGGCAGCCCGCGACGCGAGGTCCACGGCCCGGGCCATCTGACGGTGCTCATTGGGCGCCTGTGCCGCTGGCGCCGGCGCCTGTGCTGTCGGGCAGAATGCTCCCCGGCTCTCTGCCCATCTCCTGGCCGCTCTCTCCCTTCGCCGTGCCCCCTCCCCCTCTCCAGCCCGCTCCTTCAGGACACCTCCACTCCCCCATCCTCCTCCTCCACCACTCGTTCACCACTCCTCCTCCTACTCCTCCCAACCCCATCTCCCTTTACAGTTACTCATTGTGAGCGCTGCACTTCCACCAGACACTCTCGATTTGGTTCCCTGACACTGCTGCACATTTTTTTCGCTCAAGATGCCTCCCATGAAGGTCGGGATTTTTGTTCCTGGCCTGTGAACGCTTGGTGGATTAACCGCTGAGGCGACTGAGAACTTGGCCCTGGTGTGCGCTGAACGTGCTCGTTCCTGGAATCCCATGAAATGCATTCAAGACGGCCCCAAGGGGTTACGAAACTGCCAAAGGATACTCCCCAGAGGTCACAAGAATTCATCGCCCTTTCGCTTTTGATGGGCTCCCGAGGCTTCAAGATGGCCCCTAAAATTGCCAAAGACAGGCTCAGAGGCACCAAGACGCTAGGTCGCCTGACTTCGCGCACCGCGCCCCGCGATGCGCGACGCGCGGTTTCTTCGCGCCCTCGCGCCGCCGGCCTGGAGAAGGGCGCCCTAGAGACGGGCGCCTCTCCAACCAAAGCCGCAACGCGCGAAGCGAGAAAATCTTCGCGCTCCCGCACGTGGCCTGGGCTTCCAATGATCTCCAAAAGCTTCACGATGGCCCCTAAGATGGCCCAAGATGGGCTCAGAAGGGCACCAAGATCCCCGCGGGTGATCTAGGCTTCTGATCGGCTCCCGAGGTTTCAAGATGATGGTCCCTAGGATGGACCAAGATACCAAGCCGCCCTCTGAGGCCCCAGACATCACTCAAAGAGCGCCCCAGGAGGCGGCGGGACCACAGGCGAGATGCCGAGCATCAGAGGAAGGGGGAAGTGTCGGGGGGACGTGCAGGTGGGGTAAGGGCAGAGGTGGGGTTAGAGCATTCTGAGCATCTAGCTGGGCCCGTTCTCCAACCCCACCTTGGGAGAACCCCCCTTCGACGTACCATGGAAAGTGGATATCGGGAGAGGAGCGTCTACACGAGGATGTCCAAGAGGGCGCGGAGGGAATCTAGGTCGCCTAGCTTGGCGCATCGCGCCCCACTATGCGTGATGCATGCCTATCTTCGCGCCCTCGCGCCTCCCCCCCTGGAGAAGGCCAGCTGACCGACCGGGGCCGCGATGTGCGAAGCGCTGTAATCTCTGCGCCTTCGCGGGTAACCCAGGGAATGTGAGGGGGGCAGGGCGGCGTACAGGAAAGAAGGTGTCCAGCAAGGGTCGGTTGTGGAGAAGGGGATCAGGATTCCGGGGCGCGCATACATGGCGGTCCATGGATTTGGGGGGGATGCCCTTCCCAAAATGCGGCCTGTGCCGCCTCGTTCGGCGGCGGAAATCCGCTTTTTCACATTGAAACGGGACCCGTCGCTAATCCACGCCTCCTTGATCTATGTTTGCGATCGCCTGAAGGATCTTGGCTCGTCCACTCTTCTTCGTGCCTTGCAGTCGTCAACCTTACGCCTTGCGTTCCCCCTCCCGTCCGTCGGTCCATCCCCTGCCCGCCCCGCTCCGTGCCCTTCCCGCCCCCTCCTCCTGCCCTCCCTTGCAACCCCTCCTCGCCTGACTTCGCGCATCGGGCCCCGCGATGCGGGACGCGCGATCACCTTCGCGCCCCCGCGCCCGCCGCCCTGGAGAAGGGCAGCCGCTCTGGCCCAGACCGCGACGCGCAAAGCGCGACTATCTTCGCGCCCCGGCGGGCGACCCCCCTCTCCTCTCCTCCTCCTCCGAACGTCTCGCGCCCGACTCCCATGGGCGACCTTCGAAGCGGCGCCGGCGTGAAGGATGGAACACGCGTTGTTGGCACGCATGGTTCTCCTGTATGTGCCGCAGGCTCCCGCACTGTACGCACGCCGCGCACGAACTCAGGCCGAAGGCACATGAACAAGGCAACGGATTGGAAGGAATGGATGGTGGAATGGGTGACGGAGAGCATCAGGATCGGAGCGACTTGGCGGAAGAGAACGTTAGGCTCCACAACGCCGTCTGGGGCCCATATGGGCCCCAATACTGGAGCGTTACGTTCAACAGTTTGGCAGTATGTATATGCCGCCCTGCCCGGCGGCGAAAGAGTGGATGTGAAAAAGTGGATGGTGAAACCGATGACGGAGAACCTGAGGAGGATGGGGGCAACACAAGGACGACGGTAAGGACGGGGACGAGAAAGCGCCAGGTAAAGGAGAGACAATTTGTATGGACGGACGGCAGACATGAGGGTGCGGGAGAAATTCCTAAGAGGGGGGACAGAAGGAGGAAGGAATAGGGACGGAGAGCTGTCAGCCTGCCAAGCACCAAGCAGGGCGAAATACAACGAAAGAGAGCTATCCGTCCTTGGAAGCCCGGGGGAGCTCAGTAGCCCTCCCGGGCGTAGCGATATGAATAGTAGCTATAATAGCGATACCTGTCGGGCGCTGGATGGGCGCTGACCGTGGGCTGGAAGCGCGGAGTGATGGGGAGGAACAAGGATATGGAACTAGGAGGAAAAAGTGGAGGAGAGAAGATTGACTGAGAATGAGACAAAGGAAAAATGTAGAGCTGGACTTGGATGTGGAGGAGGAGCACAGGGACGAGGAGGACGAGAAAGGGGAGAAAGAGAGAGAGAGAGAGAATGATAGTGAGAGAGAGAACAAGGAAATATATAGATAGAGAAACATGGATACATATCGAAGAAGGTATGTATACATATCGCTAAAGAGAGGAAGAAGGAGGGAGGGAGGGAGGGAGCGATGTATATACATACATGTAAATAAATAGAGAGAGAGGGAGAAAGATAGAGAGAGAGAAAGGGATACACATATATATATAGAGAGAGAGAGAGAGAAAGAAAGAGACAGAGAGAAACAGCCAGGCAGACATAACACAACACCATGTAAATGCAGAGAAAGAGAGAGAGATATGACATAAAAAAGAACAAATACAATATGAAATCAAGACAGATACTGAGATAGGAATGACATATGATATGTTATGACTTCTACTTTAATATGGTATGATGTGATATGTGGACGTACACCAATACATCTACACACGTATATCAACAACCGTGCCTTTGGGGCATGAGTTGAAGTGTCCTCAGGTCCTTGGTCTAATTCCTTAAGCCTCAATCGTCAATCCTGGAGATTGCCAAATCTTTTGGGGTTACCGGCATCTTCCCGCATGACACGTGCGAACCCAAGAGGGTCTCAAGACGAACCAAGAGCGCCCCAAGAGGCCCCCAAAACTGTCTGAGAGCGTTCCGAATCGCCAAACGATCGGTCCAAGACACCCAAGATGGCCTCCCGTCGGCCGAAAAAGCGCCCAAAACGTCCCAAGAGGCCTCCAAGAGCCTTCCCAACAGGGCCCCGAAAGGCCAAAACGATTGATGCCCCTATGGTGTTTCAATGTTTTGGGGGTTATCCACCCTTCGAGCTTCCGACGCCCCAGGACGTTCCAAGGGGCCTCCCAAACCGCCCCAAGACGGCCCCAAAGGCCCCCAAGAGGGACCCAACATGGCCCAAAGGGGACCCCCAAGAGGGGCCCAAGAGGGGGAACACGAACCGAACATCGTAGCCTTCCGCCGCAAGGGGCCCCCAAGAGGCCCCCAAGAGGCCCCAAGAGGCCCCCACGAGGCCCCCACGAAACCCCAAGAGGCCCCAAAGACGACCCCAAAAAGGCCTCCATAACAGCCCTACACAGGTTTCAAAACTGCCTCCAGGCGGGCTGCCACGAAATCCCGACGAACATCCAAGAGGCCTCTCACCCACAATCTGGGCATGGTAGCGGGGCGGGCCGACAGCCCTTACCCCATCTATCGATCTATGGGTGTTACATACATACATACATACATACAGACAGACAGACATACAAACATACATACATACACACACATATATATACATACATACATACATATGCATGTACATATGCATATTTATATACACATATATATATATATATATGTGTATATAAATATGTGTATATATATATCCATGCATCCGTACATACATACATACATACATACATACATACATACATATATGTATATGTCTGTGGTCGCCCCCCCCCCAAAAAAAAAAATGAAAACAAACAAATATCATATACATGGTCCCCTCCCCCCCCATCTTTATATGTTGGTGGGGTATGATGACAGTGTTCTCTTCTTGCGGAGCATCAGTTTCTCTGAAGAAACTTTGCGTTGTTTGTGGTGGCCCGCCGCAGCCCGACCCGTCGTTGCCGTCATCGCCGGCGCGGCCCGCTGTTGTGCGCGCGGTCAGGAATGGCCACCAAACACTACTATTTTCTAAGACGCCTAAGGCTTCCGAAGGAAGCTGGCCACCAAACGCTGCTAGTTTCCTGGGTGCCCAATATTTCTAAGATTTCATCAACCACCCCAAGGCGGGCCCGCAAGGCCGCGGAAATCTTAGAAATCTCAATAGTCTCAAGGGAGAAAACAGCGCTTGGTGGCCAGCTTCCTTCCGAAACCTGGAATCTTAGAACATAGCAGCTTCTGGTAGCCATCCAGTGTTGGTGCGCGCGCGCGGTTGCCCTGACCGCGCGCGCAACAGGGGGCCGCGTCGGCGACGGCGGCAACGACGGGGCGGGCTGCGGCGCGCCCCCGCTACAAACAGCTCAACGCCTCCTCAGAGGAACTGATGCTCTGCAGTAGGAGAAGACGGATGCGAATGGCTCTGGGCCATGGCTGGCTAGCGGCGGGGAGCAGAGGCAAGGGCGCACGGGCATAGCTGGATTCAACGTGCGAGTGGCGACGGCTGGCCTGGGTTGCAGGACGCATGTCTTCCTTAATCGCCGCGCGCGACTACCGCTGCACGCGCACGCAATAGCGGAGCGATAGCAACGCGCACTGTCGAATATGGCCACGTGCTTCCTCTGTCTCAGAACCCCTGCGCAGGTGCATCGCATTCCGCGCCCACCCCCATCTCACGCGCGGCCCTGATGCTCATGCCGCCACGCTCGCTGCCGTCATCGTCCACATCGGAAGCAAGCTCGTCGATCTCCAGCAGCTCGTCGGCGTCGTCGGGGGCGGGGCCGTCGTCGCTCCCCAACTCCGACACAAGCTCGGTCAGCACGTCGTCGTCGTCGGGGGCGGCAGTGCTCTCGGCGTCGGCGCTCTCGTCGATGGATTAGTCCTCGCTCTCCCCCTCTTCGTCGTCCTCGAGAAAGCTCTCGTCGTCGATGCTTTCGCCGTCGCCGTCCTGCATCACGACGTCGGGCCCCCCCCTGCATCGCGCCGAGGATGCGCTGCTCGGACAGCGGCCAGTAGTCGCCTGAAACTGTGGCGACGCGGACGCGGTGGTCTCTGGTGATGAATAGCCGCGCGTAACCTCCCGTGAGAGTCGACCTGCGCCACACCTGGATGGATACGTCCCCGATGTGGCAGTAGGTCATCTTGGTGCCAGACACGAAAAAAAAACGACCGCGGTGGAACCGTACAGCGCAGTGGTCTGGATGGCGGGCTGCAAGAGCCTCGCAGTTTATGTTGTAGTTTACGTAACGATGTTGTTTATTGTTTTGTGCGCGCGCGTGTTGTTGTCGTTCGTGTTTGCACGAGCCCCGCCGTCCACGCCGAGGGAGCGTCCGTGGCCATGCTCCGCACGTCGCCTCCGATTTCGCGGACCACCTGGGCGTCGAACTCGTGTTTGTCACCAGCCCAGTGGAACCGCTGGCGGAGCAAGAAGCGGAGGCAGTTCCGGAAGTCCCAAGAGAAGACCTCAGGGTTGAAGCGAGGCGCGACTCCGCTTACCCCGTCGCACACAACGCCCCAATTACCCGCCGCCGCCGTCATGTCGGCGTTGGGCTTGTTGAGGAGCGGGTGCTGCGCCTTGGCGGCGCACCAGGAGGCGAGGCGGAGCATCATCGGCATTGCTGCCGCGAAGGTTCTTGGAAGCTGCGCCGCGAGTTCTGCGTCGAAGCAGGCTCGGGCCAGAACATGTTGCATCAAAAAAATAAAAAGGCTGGCGTGGAAAGTGGGTGCGCGCTGGGGGGGGGGGAAAGGGAGAGGGGAGGAGGGAGGAGGAGAAAGGAGGAGGAGGAGACGAGAAGGAGGAGGACGAGGAGGAAGAGGAGGGAGGAGGAGGAGGACGAGGAGGAAGAGGAGGAGGAGGAGGAGGAGGAGGAGGGGGAAGGAGGAGGAGGAGGAGGAGGAGGAGGAGGAGGAGGAAAGGAGGAGGAAAGGAGGAGGAGGATGAGGATGAGGAGGAGGAGGAGGAGGAGGAGGAGGAGGAAGAGGAGGAGGAGGAGGAGGAGGAGGCGGAGGAGGAAAAGGAAAAGGAGGAGAGGGAGGAGGGAGGAACGGAGGAGGAGGAGGAGGAGGAGGAGGAGGAGAGGAGGAGGAGGAGGAGGAGGAGGAGGGAAGGAGGAGGAAGAGGAGGAGGAGGAGGAGGAGGGGGAGGGGGAGGAGGAGGAAGAGGAGGAGAAGGAGGAGCAGGTGGATGCGGTACATGAGGGACGAGAAGGCAGTGTACCCGAATGGAAAACATGATATGTTGCAACGCTGCCAATACAATCCAACGCAATGCAACACAGAGATGGAGCATCTCGCCCCTACGTGATCTGGAGCATGTCGCCCCTACGTAATCTGGAGCATTTCGCCCCTACGTGATCTGGAGCATGTCGCCCCTGCGCGATCTGGAGCATTTCGCCCCTTGGAGCATTTCGCCATGTATCTGACTGGAGATGTCGCCCCTGGGTGACGGAGCATAATGGGGGGGGGTAAGAAAAAGATGAGAGACGAGGAGGAGGAGAAGGCTGGAACAGGGCACGGAAAATGTAGATCTTGGGGGAGGCAAGCATACACACACATATATATGTGTGTGTGCATGTGTGTGTGCGTGTATATAAATACATATATCTATATATATATATATATATATATATATATATATATATATATATATAACCATCGCGGGCGTTTCGCACGCACTCGAGTTCTAGCGCTTGCCAGGGGGTGGTTCCATAAGCGAGTGTGGCCACCGAGGAAGGGGGGGAAAAGGACCAGCGCAATCCTAAGGCGCAACGGGATTGCAATGAACCTTGTTTTGTCCAAGTTGGATTTTCATGGGCCCCTACAACAGATTGTCTTCACTGCGAAAAGTCCCCCCGCAGGCCCCCGAGCGCTCCGAAGAAACCCTAAGAAGCATCCCTGAGGACCTTGACCCACAACCCAGGCACGGTGGCGGGATAGGCCGAAGTCCATTAGATATGGGAGACAGAACGATGAGACGAGAGACGATATACACTATATATAGATATGTATGTATGTATGCATGTATGTGTATATATATATGTATTGTATATATAAATATATATATACATATATCATGTGTATACAGAGAGAGAGGAAAGAGAGAGAGAGAGAGAGAGAAAAGAAAAAACAAAGAGGGGCAAACGGAGCCACGGGCGAGATGGGTGTGTGATCTCTCCTGTTCAAGAATAACTTCAACCCTGCGTCCCTAGCACTCGTTCTTCCTGCAAAGATCCTGGGAGGAAGCCGAATCACAGGAGGGCTGGTCAAGTGCATCAGGGCCTGGCCGGCGTTCCCAGTCGTGGAAGTGGCGACAAATCTATGAAGTGGATCCTGCTGGGCCTCCTGAATGTCATCCTTAATGCGACTACATGCACAATTTCTAGTAGCATATATATGAAGCTGCATCAGTGGACGTTGTGATGGACTAGTGCGAGCCACCCTGAAACCAAACCAGGAGCCAAATCGCACCAGCCCTCTGGGCGTAGTTTGGTTTAACGAAGTAGCTGACGCAACCTCCTGCTGACCCTTCGGGGAGAGGCTCACTTCTCCCCTGCCTCCTCTCCGTGGGTCTGGACGGACCGGGTCGCGAGGGATTAGAGAGTCCAAGATGGCCCAATAAGGCTCCACATAGCTCAAGATGGCCTCCAAGAACGCTTACGATGGCTCAGCATGTTTTCCAACATGCCTCCAAGAGTCTGCAAGACCGCCCCGATTCGGCTCCAGGTGGCCACGGAGGACACACCCGAGTCCCAAATCCTTCCAACACCTCACGGAACCTATGTTTTTGGCCTCTCGCCTTTTCGCTTCGATGGGCTTCCGACGCCTCAAGATGGCTCCAAGATCGCCAAAGGAGAGCCCCAAGAGGGACCAAGATGGCTCCAAGAGGCGACTTCGCGGACTCCGAGGTGGGGACCGTACTTTCTTACCCACTTCCCTGTGACCGATGGCCTCCGAGATGGCCCCAAGAGGGCCCCAAGACGGCCCCAAGACGGCCCCAAGAGGCGGATTAGAAGACTCCGAGGTGGACCGTAATTTACTACCCATGGCCCTAAGAGGGGTCGATGAAGGCCCCAAGAGAGCCCTAACGGCCAACACATTGATCCCCAAAGAGCCGAAGTAAGCTGCCAAGAGGCTCCCGCATCGGCTGATCCACGAAGGCATTATGGTTGACTCCTGGGCCTGCTCAGCCTGATCCCGATGTTCGGTTTGACGGCTGCCACCCTCTTTGTTCCACTGCGTGCTCCTACATGTCCCTGATCAATGAAGCTTGCTAGGGCATCGTTGCTGGATGGGCTTGTGTCGGCATACTCGAAGCGTCAGACTAGCCTAGTCTTCAACAATACCCTATCTAGATAAGTGCGGGGTACCATGATGGCTGGCGTATGCGACTGAGATCAGGCTATAACGCGATAGCGCCTCCAGCTGGGCCCTTTGGGGTAGTCTGCCAACAAATGAAATGCCTAGCACACAGACGGTTCAAGTGATACCATTAGTCGCCCATCATCTGCCTATGGCAGTGGTGCTCCTGCACAAAAACTAAATCAAATCGAAGAGACAACGTGGGCAGGTACATGATTTTGCGATATCGTGTGCGCTATCGCGTTCCAACACGTACAGGAGATAGCTGATATGTCTAATTGCTTTGGCCGTACACGTTGTCAAATATTCTACTGTACGTCCTGCCTTCGAGAGGAGGACCTGTAATACCAGTTCCCACTACATCAATACCATGATATACTGCTCTACTTGAGTTCTGGATGATACGCATTCCATGCTCGCTGTCAATGTTGACCTTATGGAAACTTGTCAATGCCAATCCAGCATCATATAGCATCATGTCTTCCCGATACGCTGGGAACGGCACGAACCAAGCAACCAGAAACGCGTATGAAGCAATGAGGCCTCACGCGCGTGTCTCGCTGTGGCCACCCTTGGGCGGGTTTGGGAAGCCCATGGGGAACCCTTACATAAAAATGGCCACGGTCCTCTGCCGGGTGCTGCTGCTGCTGATCCCTCTCATCCTACTACTCCCATTATCCCCTCCCCTTGTCTTTATCGTCATCGTCGTCGTCCTCAGCCTCCTCCTCTTCACTCCCCGCCTCTTGCATATCCTCGTTCCCTCCTTACCCTTCTCCTTCATCTCCCTCCCTTTCCCTTTGATCCCAGTCCTGGCCCTGGCCCTGCTGAACATATCTGAAGCGACAACACACTGTACCCAACTGAGTCACATGCGTTCTGGCCATACAACTCGTATCCGACTGGTGGTGGCCTCATTCGCAGTGGGGGTACACCCAATCGCAAGCATGTCTATGTATGTAGCGGCGCGGCACACCGCGGGGCGCTGTCTCAGCATTCCAGCGAAAGCACGCCGCGTAAGTGTCCCGGTGCGGCAACGTGCTCAGAACTCATGATCGAGTGCGATGATCAAACGTACGTCAAGTGTTGCACACTGGCAGAACGTCGCAAGGAGGAGGGGGTACGTTTTGTTCGCAAGTATTGGCGCCTACATGATCAGCTGTCTCTCAGCATTGCATGCGCACAGTTCGCAGGCGACTGATCGGGTGAGGAGCCTCTGCACCAAACATGTGTACTCCTCGTCGTCCTCCTCTTTCCCCTCCTCCTCCTTCATTCCGTTTCCTTAAAAATAACTTCTCCCTGTCGCACCTCGAGGCCAGCTTTTAGGGCGGGCCGGGGGCTTCGCCTGAGACTTGCTCACCATGATGACCCTGGAGCTTAAAAAGTGGCAACAGTTTCACAGATGGAAGGCGGGTGGTTTTCAAACTGCGGATCTCACTTAGCATCGCGCATGCTCGTTTTAAACATTTGCAAAAGTTTCACGGATTGAGAGCGGCTCCTTTTCAATATGTGGCTCTCACCTTAGCGCCGCGCAAGAATTACACATATTAAGGGCGGTTCCTTTTCAAAATGTTGCTCTCGCCTTAGCACTGCGCACATTCTGTTAAAATATTTGCAATGGTTTCGCGGATTCACATGATCAGCGTATCAGAAATGGTATTTTGGAAGGATTCAGGATTATGAGGGCGCAACAGTTACATTGATTCGCGGTGTTGAAATCCCAGGAATGGCGTTCTGAGACGATTCAGAATCGTCAACGCGCAACAGTCAGGTTGACCCGTGGCGTTGGAATCCCGAGAACCAAGTTTTGGCATTCTTCAGGGTCTTCAAACGGTTGTCTTCCAACGAGGCAGTTCCCTCAGTGGAAATTAACCGTTGTAGGGGCCTATGAAGAGGGAGCTTGGAGGGAGGGTTTATTCCAACATCGTTGACAACTCTTGGGTTTACACTGGTCCTCCTCCTCCTCCTCCTGCTCCACCACCTTCTCCTCTTCCTCCTCCCCTGCCGTCTTCCCTATTCACGATCCTCTCCTTGCCTGCCCTCCTCCATCTCCTCCGCCTCCTCCTCCACTTCATTTGCCTCCTTTTCTTCGTCCTCCCCACCTCCCCGCGGCCTCCTCCTCTTCTTATCCCTCCCCTTCCCCGGGCACGGATAATAATATCGGTAATTGACGTACCGCTCCAGGCTCCAATTCAGAACAGGGGGCATCGGATTCGCGCGCTGCTGAGGGCCACTGTCTTCAAGGCGAGCAGTCGCGGGGCAGAGCCTTGGGGCAGAAATAGAAAGGGAGAAGAAGGGACATTGTGCCATAAGGTATGGCCTTTTAGGAAAGAGATCATATGTTTTTGAACATGCTGTCTCGACACAAGATGTAAAAAAAACAGTGGCAATTTCCTCACATCCGGCCGCCCCTGGCAATACATGATCTCGTTCCCCCGTAGACTACGGAACGGCATCATTAGCCCTCAAGTGCCGCTCAGATAAATCCACCACGACCGCCGCGGGAGGGACGCAATGAAGGGGGCTTTCTTGCTGGGCGGTCGCAAGGAAACTGAAAGCCCTTAATGGTTTCAGGCCAAACCGCAAGATAGAAAAGTTGCAAGGAGTCGACGGACTTGCGCGAGAAACTATGAGAAACTGTGCCTGTGCCTTGGCATCGCGCCCTAACGCAAATCACAAGCAACCGAGTGGCTTGCACGGGAAACTGGGCGTTTACAGATACTTCTCATGGAATTGCTCGTTGTGCAAGTCCAAAGACACAAACAAATAACGGGAAAGGTTTTCTCCCCGCACCAAGCTCCCACGGTCTCCGCGCCGAAGGCCGAGCCGCAAACTTCTGCTCACAAGGGACGCAAGGGGCTAGACCGACGGCTGGGCACTAAAGCATCCTTGCCCCTACTCATAATATAAAGCACGAGCGTCTATGGAAGCAGCGACCATGGGCTTCTTGAAGCAAAACGACCCATTACCCCTGCACTGGTCTACTTTCGCAAGTTCTATTGGATTCCCTCGCATGTGTGAATACGCGAGTGCGTACACATGCGCGTCTACGCACATAAGCAAACCATATTTTTATCTCAAAGCTGAGCGATATGTCAGATTCCCCAATCCAGCGTGTAAGCACATCCATCTGCAATGTGTAGGTATTCGGCCACCACCCCACGTACGGGTCAGCGCTGGCGCGCGGATCGCGGCGAGCGAGTGTTCGCTATATTATCAAAGAGCTCAATCAGAGGGAACCCGCTTCAAGCCCAAACAGCCGGATGGATAAAGCCTGCCAGGGGAACTCAGGCTCCAAGCCAACTATGTAGCCACATCAAGCTGACCATGGTACTCCACTACGACAGCGCCTACGCGCCAACACCAGCGCACGTACGCGCATGCCGCGGCATGCGTGCCTTCGCCATGCCACTGAATCCATGGGGGCCAAATTTAGCTCAAAGCCGGCTGGAAAAACTCGATCCTCAGGGGATATCAAGTTCCTTAACCCAATTTGTAGCCACGTTAATCCGACCAATGCCCTCCGCCAACGCATCTCGTACGCGCCAGCTTTCGCGCGCATGCACGCGGGTTGCCGCATACGTGAGTTCGACATGTCATTACCAGCTTAGGCACAAGCACCTAGTGGACATTTCCGACGGGAAACTTAATCTCCCAAGCCGAGCACGAACCCACATCATTCTTACGAATGTACTCTGTCTGCAACCATCCCACGCACGCGCCAACGTCAGCGGGCGAACGCGCGGGTCACGGCGTGTGCACGTTCGGTGTACTCGGCCAACCTTAAGGGAGCGAGGGAACGAGAGGAGCAGGAAGGGAGAGAAAGGCGGATCATTGGAATGGGGGCAGACACTCAGAGAAAACAAAACATGCAGGCGGGCATTGAGGTAAGGTAGTGCACGAAGAGAAGGTAGGCAGGGAGGCAAGGCAAGGGAAACAAACAAAACAAAAATGCTGACACGCAGGGCAAGCAAGCAAGCTGACTGGCTGGCCCATCCGCCGACCCCAGAGGCGTGTGAGGGAAAGTGACCAAACTCGGCCACACCCCCACCCCAGGTAGCTGTGATCACGCCCTCTGCTCTTGGGAACCCCGACTCGACATTTCCTGGACCAGAACCATCAACGCCCCCCACCTGGACCCCTACCTGGCGTGGCATTCGTTGCCGGGACCCCTCCACCACGGCTCCACCGCGACTGACACCGCCAGCCTCCTGAGGCCCCTGGGCATAATTACGTTCTTCGGGCCCCCGCACCCTGCAAGATCCTCGCCGGGACCCTTCCACCACGGCTCCACCGCGTCTGACCCCGCCAGCCTCCTGAGGCTCCTGGGCATACGCTCTTCGGGCCCCCGCACCCTGCAAAATCCTTGCCGGGACCGTCTGACACCGCCAGCCTCCCCCCGCTCCGGCACCCCCCCTCCTGCCCCCGGCATGCCCACCCATCCCGAGAGAAAAGGCTGTTCTTGGCCCCCCCACAATGCAAAAACCTCTCCGGGACCCCCCACCGCGCTCGGCACCACGCCGCCCCAACAGGCCAAAATCGGCCCCGGCACCCCGCCGCCGCAACAGGCCATTATCGTTGATGCCCATTGATTTTTTCAATGTTTTTCGCTTTCACGCTTTCCGACGCTCCACGACCGCCCAAGAGGCCCCGAAGACCGCTCCCCAAGCCTCTGAAGCTCTGTTGTTGGGTTCCAAAAACCTCGCCGGGGCCCCCCACCGCGCCCCGACACCCCGCCGCCCCAACAGGCCAAAATCGTTCATTCCCATTGATTTTTTCAATGTTTTTCGCTTTCCCGCTCTCCGACGCTCCACGACCGCCCAAGAGGCCCCCAAGACCGCTCCCCAAGGCTCTGGAGCTCTGTTTTTGGGCCCCCCGACTCTGCGAAAACCTCGCCGGGACTCCCACCGCGCCCCGGCACCTCGCCGCCCCAACAAGCCAAAATCGTTGATCCCCATTGAGTTTTTCAATGTTTTTCACTTTCCAGCTTTCCGACGCTCCACGACCGCCCAAGAGGCCCCCAAGACCGCTCCCCAAGCCTCTGGAGCTCTGTTTGTGGGCCCCCCGACTCTGCAAAAACCTCGCCGGGACCCCCCACCGCGCCCTGGCACCCCGCCGCCCCAACAGGCCCAAATAGTTGATTTCCATTGATTTTTTGCATGTTTTTCACTTTCCAGTTTTCCGACGCTCCACGACCGCCCACGAGGCCCCCAAGACCGCTCCCCAAGGCTCTGGAGCTCTGTTTTTGGGGGCCCCGACTCTGCAAAATCCTCGCCGGGCCCCCCACCGCGCCCCGGCACCCCGCCGCCCCAACAGTCCAAAATCATTGATTCCCATTGGATTTTTCAATGTTTTTCGCTTTCCAGCTTTCCGACGCTCCACGACCGCCCAAGAGGCCCCCAAGCCCGCCCCCCTAGCCTCTGGAGCTCTGTTCTTGGGCCCCCCGACTCTGCAAAAACCTCGCCAGGACCTCCCACCGCGCCCCGGCACCCCGCCGTCCCAACAGGCCCAAACCGTTGATTCCCATTGATTTTTTCAGAATGTTTTTCGCTTTCCAGCTTTCCGACGCTCCACGACCGCCCAAGAGGCCCCCAAGACCGCTCCCCAAGCCTCTGGAGCTCTGTTTTTGGGCCCCCCGGCTCTGCAAAAACCTCGCCGGGACCCCCCACTGCGCTCCGGCACCCCGCCGCCCGAACAGGCCAAAATCGTTGATTCCCATTGATTTTTTCAATGTTTTTCGCTTTCCAGCTTTCCGACGCTCCACGACCGCCCAAGAGGCCCCGAAGACCGCTCCCCAAGCCTCTGGAGCTCTGTTTTTGAGCCCCCCGACTCTGCAAAAACCTCGCCGGGACCCCCCGCCGCGCCCCGGCACCCCGCCGCCCCAACAGGCCAAAATCGTCGATTCCCATTGATTTTTTCATATGTTTTTCGCTTTCCCGCTCTCCGACGCTCCACGACCGCCCAAGAGGCCCCCAAGACCGCTCCCCAAGCCTCTGGAGCTCTGTTTTTGGGCCCCCCCACTCTGCAAAAACCTCGCCGGGGCCCCCCACCGCGCCCCGGCACCCCGCCGCCCCAACACGCCAAAATCGTTGATCCCCATTGATTTTTCCAATGTTTTTCACTTTCCAGCTCTCCGACGCTCCACGACCGCCCAAGAAGCTCCCAAGACCGCTCCCGAAGCCTCTGGGGCTCTGTGTTGAGGCCCCCCGACTCTGCAAAAACTTTGCCGGGACCCTTCACCGCGCCCCGGCACCCCGCCGCCCGAACAGGCCAAAATCGTTGATTCCCATTCTCTTTTTCAATGTTTTTCGCTTTCCAACTTTCCGACGCTCCACGACCGCCCAAGAGGCCCCGAAGACCGCTCCCCAAGCCTCTGGAGCTCTGTTTTTGGGTTCCCCGACTCTGCAAAAACCTCGCCGGGACCCCCCACCGCGCCCCGGCACCCCGCCGCCCCAACAGGCCAAAATCGTTGATTCCCATTGATTTTTTCAATGTTCTTCGCTTTCCCGCTCTCCGACGCTCCACGACCGCCCAAGAGGCCCCCAAGACCGCTCCCCAAGCCTCTGGAGCTCTGTTTTTGGGCGCTCCGACCTGCAAAAACCTCGCCGGGGCCCCCCACCGCGCCCCGGCACCCCGCCGCCCCAACAGGCCAAAATCGTTGATCCCCATTGATTTTTTTCAATGTTTTTCACTTTCCAGCTTTCCGACGCTCCACGACCGCCCAAGAGGCCCCGAAGACCGCTCCCCAAGCCTCTGGAGCTCTGCTTGTGGGCCCCCCGACTCTGCAAAATCCTCGCCGGGGCCCCCCACCGCGCCCCGGCACCCCGCCGCCCCAGCAGTCCAAAATCATTGATTCCCATTGGATTTTTCAATGTTTTTCGCTTTCCAGCTTTCCGACGCTCCACGACCGCCCAAGAGGCCCCCAAGCCCGCTCCCCTCGCCTCTGGAGCTCTGTTCTTGGGCCCCCCGACTCTGCAAAAACCTCGCCGGGACCTCCCACCGCGCCCCGGCACCCCGCTGTCCCAACAGGCCCAAATCGTTGATTCCCATTGATTTTTTCAATGTTTTTCGCTTTCCAGCTTTCCGACGCTCCACGACCGCCCAAGAGGCCCCCAAGACCGCTCCCCAAGCCTCTGGAGCTCTGTTTTTGGTCCCCCCCGCTCTGCAAAAACCTCGCCGGGACCCCCCACTACGCTCCGGCACCCCGCCGCCCGAACAGGCCAAAATCGTCGATTCCCATTGACTTGTTCAATGTTTTTCGCTTTCCAGCTTTCTGACGGACGCTCCACGACCGCCCAAGAGGCCCCGAAGACCGCTCCCCAAGCCTCTGGAGCTCTGTTTTTGGGCCCCCCGAATCTGCAAAAACCTCGCCGGGACCCCCCACCGCGCCCCGGCACCCCGCCGCCCCAACAGGCCCAAATCGTTGATTCCCATTGATTTTTTCAATGTTTTTCGCAACAAGCCAAAATCGTTCATTCCCATTGATTTGTTCAATGTTTTTCGCTTTCCAGCTTTCCGACGCTCCACGACCGCCCAAGTGGCCCCGAAGACCGCTCCCCAAGCCTCTGGAGCTCTGTTTTTGAGCCCACCGACTCTGCAAAAACCTCGCCGGGACCCCCCACCGCGCCCCGGCACCCCGCCGCCCCAACAGGCCAAAATCGTTGATCCCCATTGTTTTTTTCAATGTTTTTCGCTTTCCCGCTCTCCGACGCTCCACGACCGCCCAAGAGGCCCCCAAGACCGCTCCCCAAGCCTCTGGAGCTCTGTTTTTGGGCGCTCCGACTCTGCAAAAACCTCGCCGGGACCCCCACCGCGCCCCGGCACCCCGCCGCCCCAACAGGCCAAAATCGTTGATTCCCATTGATTTTTTCAATGTTTTTCACTTTCCAGCTTTCCGACGCTCCACGACCGCCCAAGAGGCCCCGAAGACCGCTCCCCAAGCCTCTGGGCTCTGTTTTGGGCCCCCCGACTCTGCAAAAACCTCGCCGGGGCCCTCACCGCGCCCCGGCACCCCGCCGCCCGAACAGGCCAAAATCGCTGATTCCCATTGACTTTTTCAATGTTTTTCGCTTTCCAACTTTCCGACGCTCCACGACCGCGCAAAAGGCCCCGAAGACCGCTCCCCTCGCCTCTGGAGCTCTGTTTTTGGGTTTTCCCGACTCTGCAAAAACCTCGCCGGGACCCCCCACCGCGCCCCGGCACCCCGCCGCCCCAACAGGCCAAAATCGCTCATCCCCATTGATTCTTTCAATGTTTTTCGCTTTCCAGCTCTCCGACGCTCCACGACCGCCCAAGAGGCCCCCAAGACCGCTCCCCAAGCCTCTGGAGCTCTGTTTTTGGGCGCTCCGACTCTGCAAAAACCTCGCCGGGACCCCCCACCGCGCCCCGGCACCCCGCCGCCCCAACAGGCCAAAATCGTTCATCCCCATTGATTCTTTCAATGTTTTTCACTTTCCAGCTTTCCGACGCGTGCACGACCGCCCAAGAGGCCCCGAAGACCGCTCCCCAAGTCTCTGGAGCTCTGTTTGTGGGCCCCCCGACTCTGCAAAATCGTCGCCGGGGCCCCCCACCGCGCCCCGGCACCCCGCCGCCCCAGCAGTCTAAAATCATTGATTCCCATTGGATTTTTCAATGTTTTTCGCTTTCCAGCTTTCCGACGCTCCACGACCGCCCAAGAAGCCCCCAAGCCCGCTCCCCTCGCCTCTGGAGCTCTGTTCTTGGGACCCCCGACTCTGCAAAATCCTCGCCGGGACCTCCCAGCGCTCCCCGGCACCCCGCTGTCCCAACAGGCCAAAATCGCGGTTGATTCCCATTCTGATTTTTTCAATGTTTTTCGCTTTCCAGCTTTCCGACGCTCCACGACCGCCCAAGAGGCCCCCAAGACCGCTCCCCAAGCCTCTGGAGCTCTGTTTTTGAGCCCCCCGAATCTGCAAAAACCTCGCCGGGATCCCCCACCGCGCCCCGGCACCCCGCCGCCCCAACAGGCCAAAATCGTTGATTCCCATTCTGATTTTTTCAATGTTTTTCGCTTTCCAGCTTTCCGACGCTCCACGACCGCCCAAGAGGCCCCCAAGACCTCTCCGCAAGCCTCTGGAGCTCTGTTTGTGGGCCCCCCGACTCTGCAAAAACCTCGCCGGGACCCCCCACCGCGCCCTGGCACCCCGCCGCCCCAACAGGCCAAAATCGTCGAGCCCCATTGATTTTTCCAATGTTTTTTGCTTTCCAGCTTTCCGACGCTCCACGACCGCCCAAGAGGCCCCCAAGACCGCTCCCCAACCCTCTGGAGCTCTGTTTTTGAGCCCCCCGAATCTGCAAAAACCTCGCCGGGACCCCCCGCCGCGCCCCGGCACCCCGCCGCCCCAACAGTCCAAAATCATTGATTCCCATTGGACTTTTCAATGTATTTCGCTTTCCAGCTTTCCGACGCTCCACGACCGCCCAGGAGGCCCCCAAGCCCGATCCCCAAGCCTCTGGAGCTCTGTTTTTGGGCCCCCCGACTCTGCAAAAACCTCGCCGGGACCTCCCACCGCGCCCCGGCACCCCGCTGTCCCAACAGGCCAAAATCGTAGATTCCCATTAATTTTTTCAATGTTTTTCGCTTTCCCGCTCTCCGACGCTCCACGACCGCCCAAGAGGCCCCCAAGACCGCTCCCCAAGCCTCTGGAGCTCTGTTTTTGGGCCCCCCCGGCTCTGCAAAAACCTCGCCGGGACCCCCCACTACGCTCCGGCACCCCCCCTCCTGGCTCCGGCACAACCGCATACACTCCCCACCATGCAAAACCCTCGCCGGGACCCCCCACCACGCTCCGGCAATCCCCCTCCCGGCCCCGGCATTCCCGCTCCACCCCAAGATACCTCCAAGACAGGCCGAGATGCCTCCAAGACACCTCCGGAACGGCCACGATAGCCCCAAAGACCGCTGAGATTGCCCCAAAATGCCTCCAAGACGGCCCACTCTGCACCCAACCTTGCCAAGGATGGCCTCAGGTGCCCAACACGGCCCAAGAGGCCTCCAATACGGACACGCCCCCCTCGCCGCCGCAACCCGCACTGCTCCCCGCACCACCACCTCCAGGCACGTGCTCACTCCGACCCCCACCGGGACTCTGAATTCTCGAATCTCTCAGGGCTGCCCTCGTGAACCTAGATAGCCGCAAAAGGGGCCACGACGACGACCCCAAGACAGCGCCCACGTCGGGCCAAAACGGCCCCGAGAGAAGCAATTATTGACTCAAGACGCCCCAGATGGACCCAAAACTCCCACAAAAGATTCGAAGACGACCGCAGAAGACACAAAGGAGAGAGGAAGAGAGGGAGAGAAAGAAAAAGAAAAAACACGCCCAAACACACACGCGCATTGCCCTGGCCCACCCATACTCCATATGAACACTACCCCCTGTTGCAGGAAAGCTCGCGGGGACCACCTGAAACCAAAGAAAACACGAGGCCTGATTTGGGGTCGGCGGCAGAGGCGGCAGCCTTTAAATTAGAAGGACAGAGTGGAGAGGACACGCAAACAAAGGGGCATGGGAAAAACGCGGACAAGGCCATAGCGACCCATCGAACAGCATGCACGCATGCACGCTCTGCCATTCGCGCGCAGCCCCTCCTCCTGTCCTCTGGTCTCCACTTTTCCCCCTGTGCCGCAATTAGCTTCGCCTGTGCCCCAGCGTAGCCCGTCTGCACCTCGGATCCGGGACGCCGCCGACCAAAAAGCACGCGCCGCAATTCACGCACATCCTTGCACGCGCAAGCAGTGGTCGCAGGCACATGCACGCACGCATTCGCACCTGCGCGCGGGTGCTGGAGCGCACGGCATCAGAGGAGCCCAGAAGAGCTTCGCGGTCCTGCAACATGGAGGTGGCAGGGGTGCTTGTGCTGGCTGACATCATTGTTCAGCACCGGGGGTGGCCTTCCCTGCCGCAGCAGCACTTTCCCGCCGTCAGCTCAAGGCCGAAGTCCAAGCCCATTCCTGGCCATCGTCCTCGCTAATATCTCGAGCAGAATCCGGCACGGCGACGACGGAAGCCACCTGAAGGCCAGCCCCGTCCCAACCAACCCTGCTTGTGCTGGCTGACATCATCGCTCGGCACAGGGGTCGGCCTGCCCTGCCCTGCCCTGCCCTCCCGACGGCTCTCGTCCTGATCGACTGCATCACTCCTCTGCACGTGGCCGCTGTTGGCGGCGAGCCTAGGGGGGAGTGAGAAGGGGCTCGGAAGTCCTCCGGCCTTCTGCGAAGTTTTCGAAGCCTTCCCTGGAGACACAGAAAACAACTCAGAAGGCCTGAGGCCTGCTGAGAGGCCCCGTTCTCCTTCTCATTTCCCCCCCTCGCTCACCGCCGACGCTGTCGACTTCGGCGCCACACTTGGCTCCACCCTTCCGCCCCTCCTCCCCGGACCTCCGACGACGTGGCGTTATGTCGGGACGCGGGCCTCTGGCGCTCTCGCCCCCATCCTCGGGGACCGTTCTTTCGCCGCGGGCCTTTCTCTCGAAAATCTCGGGGCACGGCATCGGCTCCAGAAGGCCCACACTGCACAACGAACTAGCCGCACGCAGAAAGCCGAAGTACTCTCACGTCGCCTGGAGGTGTGGGCCCCTGCCAGCGGCCCCCGTCCTCCAGGGCGTTGGCACGGGGGGCCCGGAAATCGCGCGGTCGGGCGGTCCACTCGCTCTGATGCTGGATTCGCTCGGCGCGCGGACGAGCAGGAGGTGGAACGGGGCAGCGCCTTGCGCTCAGCATGTGGACGGGAGGAGAGGCAAGGAGAAATCATGGACGAGGTGGGACCCATAGGGGAGAAGTGGAATGCAGACGCCTTCAGGATCGGGAAGGAAGGAGGAGGAGGACGAGGAGGAGGAGGAGGAGGAGGAGGAGGAAGAGGTCATGAACAGGTCGGGATAGGGGGATGAGGGATGATGATGAGGGGTGATGGTGAGAATGATGATGATCATGAGGATGCTGCTCATGGTGATGATGATGGTGATGATGATGGTGGTGTTAATAATCGCAATGATAAGCCCAGGCTGGCGCGCCCTCTGCCCGCGAGCGCGCGGCGGCCGCGGATCGAAAGTGTCGAAGAGGGACGATCCCAAGCGGGCTGGCGCGCCCGCCCAATCATTGTCGTGCCGATGCTGTTCGTTGCCGCGCTGATGCCTGCGCGCGCGCACGATGCGCACGTCATGGGAGAAGCCGCCGCGGTCATCCGACTTTGCCCGCAGCTGCGCCCACGAATCGCGATTCCAAGACCTGGGAGGGAGTGGCCACGCGCGCCCGAGCGCCAAGCCGAGGATAGCCTCCAGGCGATCCGCGTGGATGCAACCGGGTGGAACAGCCACGAGCAGAGCTTGAGTTACTGGCCAGAGTTCGACCCCGGGCGAAGATTGGACTGGCCTGGGCAGCGCGCCGCAGTAGCCGCCGCTGGCCCTGAGGTTCCCGAGGGTAACGAAGCCCCAGCCCGCCCGCGCAGCCCACGGGCGGCCCAAACGCTGCAGGTAGGAGCCGTCGGCGTAAAAGAGGCGCCCAGCAATGCGTGCGAGCGGCCGCTGTAACCGCGAGGAGGAAGAACAGGCAGCGAGGACAGCGAAACCATCAGGCGTGCCCAATGCGGATTTTTCTGCACGATGCGCGCCAATCCGTCGATCAGGACTTCGTGCAACGCCAGCGCCCGCTTAGGCTAACACGGCTTGCATTGCCACTAGCGGTGCACGGACGTTCCAGGCGCGGTCCCGCAACGTCGACAGAACCCGTCGACCGCGCGGCCGCAATCACCTGCGCGGGCTGACCCGGGACCAGTTGGCAACGAGAGACCAGGCCGTGCCAGCGCCAGACTCGGCGAGCCGCCAACGGGCGGTGGGCCAGTGCGCCAGCGCAACCAGCGGCTCCAGCCAGTAGTCCTGCGGCTGCCAGCGAACTGGGCCCAGCTCGGGCGCTGGGTCAGGCGCGGTTGCCGAGCGCCGCCATATGCGCGCACGGCGGAATGCTTCGCCAGCTGCTGGGCCGCGGAAGGGGCCGCCACGCGGAGGTCCAACGCGAAGCCCTCGTCAGTGCGCCAGGCGAAGGCGGAGGACGCGAAACAGGTCTCTCAAGGCCAAGCATGCCGCGCCAACGGGGCCTATGACCCTACTCCAAGTGCTGGGGGCCAAGAGGACGGAAGGGGACCTGCCGTTCCCACGCTCGTTGCGCGTCCGCTTTGTGCATGCTCGGGCTCGGGCCAACGGCCATCGGCGCCCTGTTGAAGAGGGGCTGCGTCCACGCCGCAAGCTGCAGCTCGGCGTGCCCCCCTGGCTCCAAGCACAATGCCAACCAAATCGAATAACTGGCTGCCAACCAGTCCCAGCCTTGCCGGAGCACGCGCCGCATCGCGGCAACCAAGGTCGGCGGAGTCCGCGTGGCAGGAAAACCGCACTGGAAAGCTGCAGGAAGCGATGCGCGCGTCAGAGGGCCCAAGTGCGCGTCGAGGCCGCGAAGCCGTCGGAAACGAGGCAGCCTTGCGCGGACCCGCCGCGCCCGCCGGCGCAGCGTGGAAAGACGGAGCGGCCTCCCCGCGCGCGCCTCCACGCAGACATCCCACGCCTGGCAAGCGCGGAAACCATGGCGTCGCAAGCGGCGAACGACCCGTGGCGCGACCTGCATCCGAGAGGGCGTGACCCGGGCAGCTCCAAGTCCTCTTGCAGTAGTGCGAGCCGCCCCAGGGAATCCGTCGCCCGCCCCATGATGACGCGCAGGGTTGCGCGGATCTGCCCTGTCAGGTCGTCGGCGTAGATGGCCAGCGTCTGTGGCGGCTGCTGTTCGGCGCATGAGCTCGCCCATGGGCGTGTGCATCGCCAGCTGCAACAGCGTGCTGGCCAGTGTGCATACAGGGAGGCCGTTGCCAGAAGCTTGGGCCGCCCTGGATGCGCCGAGCACGACCGCAGCCAGCGGGGCGCGAGGTACCTGGCGAGTGCGGAACGAAACGCGCGATGACCATGGGGAAATGATGAACCCTCGCCGCCGGGACGATGATCGGTCAGCGGAGCTGTTCGCAACACTTGTCGATGTCGATGAGCGCCGTGATGACGACGTACGAGTCCACGTCGCACGCGGGGTACGCTTCTCCCGGGAACAACGCCCTGGAAGCCGTGTAGACATGATGTTAATGTTGATGGTGATCATGATGAGGATGATGTTGTTGATGATGATGATCATGACAGCTCCTTTATGCCAGCAGTCAGGGTGCGAGGACGGGCTGCTTCGAGTGGCGCGGGACGCCACGGAGAACGCAGGACGGACAGAGAACAGCTACTACATGCCAAGGAGCAAGATTAAAAAGAAAAGGTCGGTGGTGGGGATGGTTGGATGGCGCGCCTTGAGCACCCGAACGGCGGCGGAAATGTGCACATGAGAACCGTGAAATCACAAATATCATGGCAGCTCCTTTATGCCAACAGTCAAGGTGTGAGGATGGGCTGCTTCGAGTGGCGCGGGATGCCACGGACAACGCAGGACGAACAGATAACACTTACTACATGCCAAATCTGCAGGCATGCTTGCAAGCTGGCATCGCCGAAAATCAAAGATGCCTCTGGACAGAAGCAGCGATTCTCGCAACGTGAGCGTTGTAATACAATCGGGCCAAAGCTTTCCAGAACTTGGGTGGATATACGGCTGCAGCGGCAGTGGCAAAGGACCCATCTGGCCTTTTGCCACGGAGGATCTCGCGACGCCTGCCCGAGCGAGCGCAAATCCCACGCCGCGAGCCAATGCACTTTGAGCCCTGCCAAGGAGTAGCATCCAACAAACCGAACAGGAGGCCAGTGTCCTTCCGCCACGGCGCCCGCCACATACACATCGATGTTACGACAAACTCCACAGCGCGACGGCGCGCCAGGCGCCTAAGATCGGGCAGAAGCCAGTCTGGCTGTCTTGGGATTCTCGACAGACCACGAGACTCCAGAGGCTAAAGAGGCCCGGGCAAGGGTGGCAACGAGTTTATTTAAGCAGTTGGACGCGCCAACCTGGGCTTGCAGCTTGAAAGGGAGGTTGGAAAGGCCAAAAAGTGATCGTCCGATCGCACCGTGGGAGGACCGGCACCATGGCCTCTCGCCCGTGCGAGGGCGTTGCACGACGCGCCTGCGCGCCATCCTAGCAGCAAGCCTGCTCGGAGCCACGATGTGATTCTGAGACGATTCTCGGAGGGGGCCAGATCATGCCGTTCGCCGAGCGACAGGTCTCAAATAAGGGCCCCGAAGCCCATGGCTCCAGCAGCACGGGCAAAACCTCCGCGCCCAGAGAACAGCTCGAATATCACAAGGGCCTTCAGGCCAGCCGCGGCAAAGGAGAGGGCACCTCGAAGTCGGGCTGGCCCAGACTCGCCACGCCCGCGCCTCCATGCCGCTGGAGGACGAGAAGAAGCCGATGCAGACCTTCGGTGGGTCGGCTGCTCTCCTCGTAGCGGCGCGCGCTGCATGTCCGCCATCGGCCACGGCGGCGCCCCTCTACCAGCATCTGGCAAGAGGCGGCTGAGTCGCGCGGCGGCCCTGCACGACGAAGCGGATCGCCCCGATGCGCCCGAGCCCGAGCGCAGTCACCGCCGCCTCGAGCTCCTTCGACACATCGGCGGCGGAGACTCGGAAGGGAGAGCCGGGCCAGCCAGCGGCCCCGCCCTCGCGAGCCACCGCCGTGGCCCTCCAGCCCCCGCCCCAGCGCCGCGCCAGCATCCGGCCGCGACTTACTGCCGGGCGCCAGCGACGAGGGAGGCCGAGCTGGCCGCGTCGGCTGAACTCCGGCCGCGCCCAGGAGATGGCGGCGGTGAGGAGGTTGGCGTAGGTGAGGTGCCACCGCTCGTTGATCATCGCGCGCAGGTAACCCACCGCCGCTGCGCCCACCCGCGCGGCCATCCAAAGCGCCAAGGACTGGCCCCTGGCCCAGGGCGCGAACATATTGCACAGCACAAGGTAGGCCTCCCTCCCGCGCGCGGCCCGCGCCGCGGCCGCATCCGGCACCTGGGCGGCCGCTGGCGGCTGGACCTCGGCGGCCCGCTCCTGCGGAGTCAGAGCCCGCCCCGCGGCCGCCGCCGGCCTGCGCTTCGCGCGCGCCTTGCAGGAAACCCGCCGCCGCGGCCGCGGCGCCCGGGCCCCCCCCGGGCGCTCGCCGGCGCAGCAGGACCGGGAAGTCCAGTCGCGAGGCTGCCGAGGTCGACGTAGTCCGGGCCCGTGGCGAGCGGAGCCGCGCGCAAGAGCGGCCGAGCATACCGCGGCGCCGCGCGCGGGAGTCGAGGGGCCGCCAATCCTCTCGGTGCTGTCGGAGGCGCGGCTGGAAAGTCCGAACCAAAATAGCGACGCGACGAACTGAGGGTCGGCCCCCGGGTGCTGGGCATGCCGTGCGTGCCCTGGCTGTAGTGGCCCCCGACCGTGCCGTGATTGCTGATGTTGGTCGCGCCACTGACGTGGTCGCGCTTGCCTACAGGGTCGTGCTTGTCTCTGGTGTCGTGCTTGCCACTGATGATGTCGTGCTTATCTGACATGTCGCGTTTGCCATTGGTGTCGTGCTTATCATCGGTGTCGTGCTTGTCACTGATGTTGTCGTGCTTATATGTGGAGACGTGCTGGTCGATCACTGATGTTGCCGTGCTTGCCCCCCAAGACGCGCGCGCTGCCCTTGATGGGCCCGACCTGGGATGGGGGGGCCCGTGCTTTGACGAAAGCTTGGGCTC